AAAGTTATGGAATCTTGAAGTCCAAATATGGGACCCATTTTTTTAAATCACCGAAAACTTAGAAATAACTAACATGAAAATGGGTCAAAATTTTGATCAACGTTAAAGTGAAAATTTTGAATGCAGATTTTTTAAGAATCAAAACACGAGTCGTTAGAGGTATGCCACTTTGGAATCGGATTCAATTTGGTAAAGTTATGGAATCTGGAAGTCCAAATATGGGACCCATTTTTTTAAATCATCGAAAACTTAGAAATAACTAACATGAAAATGGGTCAAAATTTTGATCAACGTTAAAGGGAAAATTTTGAATGCAGATTTTTTAAGAATCAAAACACGAGTCGTTAGAGGTATGCCACTTTGGAATCGGATTGAATTTGGTAAAGTTATGGAATCTGGAAGTCCAAATATGGGACCCATTTTTTTAAATCATCGAAAACTTAGAAATAACTAACATGAAAATGGGTCAAAATTTTGATCAACGTTAAAGTGAAAATTTTGAATGCAGATTTTTTAAGAATCAAGACACGAGTCGTTAGAGGTATGCCACTTTGGAATCGGATTCAATTTCGTAAAGTTATGGAATCAAGACACGAGTCGTTAGAGGTATGCCACTTTGAAATCGGATTCAATTTGTTAAAGTTATGGAATCTGGAAGTACAAATATGGGACCCATTTTTTTAAATCATCGAAAACTTAGAAATAACTAACATGAAAATGGGTCAAAATTTTGATCAACGTTAAAGTGAAACTTTTTAATGCAGATTTTTTAAAAATCAAAACACAAGTCGTTAGAGGTATACCATTTTGGAATCGGATTCAATTTGGTAAAGTTATGGAATCTGGAAGTCCAAATATGGGACCCATTTTTTTAAATCACCGAAAACTTAGAAATAACTAACATGAAAATGGGTCAAAATTTTGATCAACGTTAAAGTGAAAATTTTGAATGCAGATTTTTTAAGAATCAAGACACGAGTCGTTAGAGGTATGCCACTTTGGAATCGGATTCAATTTCGTAAAGTTATGGAATCTTGAAGTCCAAATATGGCACCCATTTTTTTTAATCACCGAAAACTTAGAGATAACTAACATGAAAATGGGTCAAAATTTTGATCACCGTTAAAGTGAAAATTTTGAATGAAGATTTTTTAAGAATCAAGACACGAGTCGTTAGAGGTATGCCACTTTGGAATCGGATTCAATTTGGTAAAGTTATGGAATCTGGAAGTCCAAATATGGGACCCATTTTTTTAAATCACCGAAAACTTAGAAATAACTAACATGAAAATGGGTCAAAATTTTGATCAACGTTAAAGTGAAAATTTGAATGCAGATTTTTTAAGAATCAAAACACGAGTCGTTAGGGGTATGCCATTTTGGAATCGGATTCAATTTGGTAAAGATGTGGAAGGCAAAAAAGTTTTTTTTAAGGAAGGACTAGGTTGCGTTGTAGCGGACAGACGAACGATTATGGCTATTCGGATCAAAAATATATTACTTGATTGGGTCGAAAATGTAAACTTTTGATTGAAATTATAATACCCTCTGCAAGGGTATGAAAAAGCGCAGCAAGTCCCAAGAGCGAAAGAGAAAGACCCAAGCTTAAAGTAAAATTCGATTCGAATAAAACTCGAAATGAGCCGCAAGGAAATCAATTGTTCATTTGCATATGCATGCATTTTCCACCTGCAGAGTCCACCACTCCCCATGAAGCACTTTTCCCTCGGTTTTATTGCACGACCTCAATATTTATTTGTTTGCCTCTTTTTGGCCAGTTTCAGTTCAAAGTCAAAGCAATTCCGGACCCTCAATTTCATTTCCATTCCATGCCATTTTTCAACCTGACCAGTCGGCGGCATCTTCACGATTTTCACGGTTCTTTTCTTTTTTATTTGTGCGCGCCGCCTTTCGGCCTTTTCGACTTGTGTTTGAGTTTCGATTTTTGTTGGTTTTTCCTGCACTTCAGAGCGGGAATTGCATTTTGCCGCTTTCAATACTGCTGGCCCTTGTCCATTTGACCATCAACTTTCGCAAATTGAATAAGAAACTAATTTTCAACAAACTGAAATATTTTCAAGTGAAATAAGCCCATGGGCAAATAGTTTGTACCCATTAAAAAAGTTAAAAAAATGTTACAAATTAATTTTGGCTGGCACAGAAATCCATATCCATATAAAACAACATTTATTTTTAACTACTTACCCCAAGTAATAATTTCAAATAATAGTAACTCAAATTAAGATCTACTTATTAAGTCTAAGCTTAAGCAATATATGTGAATTAATATGACACTGATATTAGTTAGCATATCTATTTAGAGCAAAGCTTTATTCTATCCAATTTTTTTTCACTCACAAGTATTCGTTTCCAAGCGAATTCCCATATACCCTCTAATTCGTTTGCAAAACGCCACAAAAACAAACTCTCGCTAGAACTGTTTGCCAAACTACTGAAAAAGAACGAACCACACACAACTAGTTATCAGCGTTAATTTTGTTTGTTCAGGTTTACCCAGAGCAAACAAAAAGATGTAAAAACAAAACACCAGCGAGGGAGCGAAAAATTAATTTATTACTTGCAACTGGGACTATAAAAACGGAAGAACAGCGGGAAAAGTACGGCTCGTAAACAGATTTAGATTTAATCAAATGATAGCCCAAAGCTAGGTTTGAAATGTGAGCGGCTGCTGGATTCGGTAATGCACTCAATATATTTCAATGTGGCAGCTCGATTAAATATTCCCCACCAGCAGATTGGCAGGCTGGTGGATAAATGTTTTGCGAGCCGGCCATTGAAACATGAGAAATGGCAACAGATTTAGCCCCACACATATTCGCCTGTGTCCTGCCGATGTTTTTAGCTGTATAAACTATCATCGTCAGATTGTATATAGAATTTTTTGGGGTCACCAACGGACAGCACACATTTTATTTATTTTTTTTCTTTTTAGTGTCCCTTTTGCGGGGGAGGTAATTCGGTTGCGTTGTGGCGGAAAATGAAAAGCAGAGGGCTAGAAAAATCGAAAATGTTACGCCTGAAAATTGCCTGTCAAATGACAAAAATGGTTTCATTTTCTGAATGTGTGCCCACCCCCTTTTCCATCCCCTCTCTCTGGCTATTGGGCATTTTTCATGTCTAGGCCCATAACATGCTCCTATTATATTTATTTTTTCTACTTTGTCCTTTTTCCGGCTGCTCATTTTGGTTGGCATCAGATTAGGCCCACATTTTGTGGTCAAGAAGGGGGTGGGAGAAGGGGCAAACGCAGGGAAGGATAAAAGCTGTGGAACTGAAAGAAATTGAAAATAACATTTGTCGGAATTTTTCGCTGAGGTTTGCCATGTCCAACAATTTGCTAGGAGCAAAAGTTTTTATGTTTCGTTGCCAAAGGTCGCTCGAAGGAGAAATGGAGATGAGTCAAATTAGATCATAAATGATATTGCGTAGAAGTTTATGGAAATTGGCTGGGCTTTGAACCTGTCAAAAAGTTTGCTTGTTTTGGCAAAAAGTGCCGTCTGAACTTTCAAGTTTAAGTTTGGGAATTAATAATCTTTGTATAAAAAGTTTCTTGAATTTTTAAGCTTTAGTATTTACATTTTGTTTTAACATAAAAGTAAATAAATACTAATTTAACTTTAATTCTGGCTATAAGTTTTGAAAAGCAACTCGTGCAACATCCTGCAAGCCAATTCCTCATTAAATTCATTTGCACTTTGGCCGTTTTAATTCGGTTCGTTAGGGTAAAATCAATTTGCAATCCCCTGGGAGCTAAGCTGCCTGCTCTGGACGGAACCATGAACCCTTTGGCGTTTCCTGCCAATGGCACACACATCTCACTGGTGGATTACGCTTGCACGTTGCATGTACGGCAATTACAAACTGCTTAAAAGCAAATAAATCCCTGCCAGGCCATTGCATCGACGATGGCAAAGGATAACGAGTATTTGTGGGGCGAATGTTGTCCGCAAATAAATATATATAAACATTTGCCGCTCCATTTAATGAGGCTGCGCGAAAGCAACAAGGAGAACATTTCAGCTGCTCGCAGCTCGTTATCGGCGGACAACGCGTATCTGGTTCTGTATCTGTATCTGTATCTGTAGCTGGGCGACATAAAACTGTCAAAAAGTCGCCTATATAAATCGCTAAGCTAAATGCCTTTCATAGTTTAATGTCACCTCGAGGGATTTGAAGGAGCGAATGGATGGATCTATGGAGGACCAGACAACGTGTCTCTATCCGAGTCCAGCATCCACGCCTCGATGTCATTAAAACCGAATGAATTATGCAGTAGCCCAAGTGAACTACTTGCAGTCCGCCCTTGGAAAACAGAACAGAAAAGTGCACAGAGGAAAAACCAAATATTCATTTTGTCAAAGCAAATTATAATAAAAAAAAATTTAATTTTTAACAAAATATTTAAGTGGTTAAACGAAGAGAATTAACTGAAAACCTTTTTCTATCATTGTAATTGATATTCATTTTTGTGTAATTTAATGTTTTTAATATTTTTATCTGTGTAGCAGCCACAAGAGACAAAAAGCGAGGTAAAAAGAGGGCCATGGCAGCAGATGACCAGTTCTTGTCGCGACTGCAGTTTGTTTGTTGTTTTAATTAACTAATTAAGATTTTTCTATGTCGCGCCTAGGTAGAAGAAGCAGTCGCCCAAGTCTAAGGAATGCCTGCATTATTTGTTGCAGCCGAGTTGCTAAGGACCCAATTAACCTTTTATGGCCATTTGGCACAATAACGAGGCCAAGAGCGAGAGCCCGGACCGACAGCAGGGCACACAAAAAAAGTTAAGAAAAATAAATAAAAGGCAGCCACACAATCGAGACAATGAAACCTGGTCTCTTGGCCAGTTAGTTGGCCGTAAGTAGCCGGCCATGTTCAGTGAAATTGTTGGCCATATTTGGCGCACAAAACAATGGCTATCATAAATTCCAACTACAAATTGACATTGAAAATTTGTTTGTTTCTCCTTGCAGTTTGCTCACCTTTGCAGTTTGCTTGGGTTTCCTTGCCCGCTTCCTGGTTTCCCTTCAATGCGTGACCACAAAAGCTGCAATTACAGAAAAATATGCACACAGAATATTAGCTATTGCCTCGATAAATTTGCCACTATCAACAAGATAATGGAGTGCTTATAGATTACTATGTATTTAATTATTTTGGTAAGGCTATAAATTATGACACTGGAACCATATGTTTGTAGGGGGAGCTTTCAACTTCCGTTTTGGCCAGCCACGTGGTAAATTTCCCATTATAATAAATGGTTTAATTTTAGTTTCGGTATTATGAAATTATTCTTCAAAAATTATTTCCATGGAATTCGGTTGCCTCTCTCTCATTTCGAAGCAATGTGTTGCTTACATGATTAAACTTCGTGAGGGAGATGTTTAAAAACAGATTTATTTTGCTATTCTTAGAGTCATCACACTTAATATTTTAAATTATGTATTAGAAACGTACATTAAAATTGTCTTGAGACATACTTTCCATAAATTGTTCGTCTTTTCGGAGCTAATAAAACCTGGTATGCGGAGAATTGCCCTGATCCCCATTTTTGCCTACGAGATTCATAAATGCTTTCCGAACATTTTCATTTTGGGTCACTGGCTAATCAATATGGTTTAGTGTCCCCCAACGGGGTTACCGACATTTTCTCTTCTCCACTTTACTTGGCTTTCTCTTGGGTTCAATTCAAACGCCCACATACTATGTATTATCGCATATTTTTCCTGCTTTTTGCCATTTTCCCTCTGCCAAACCGGTTAGGTGTTGGCCGCAGTCTGCTGATATGCAGCTACTTCAAGGTAGGACCAAGGGACAGACATCTTGGCAGAGAACTCCGATACAATCGGATGACGAAGAGCTATATGGTGTGGGCAGCAGAGTGGCTATGGATGGGGATGTGGATGTGGATGTGGATGCGGTGACCAACTCACCCAGATAGATGGGCAAACTCCCATCTCGACGTCACATCGGTGGGCTAATTGAAATGGCAACACTAATTAGAGCTGCTTTAAATGCAGACTGCATTTCCCCCGGCAACACACAATGTTGTCCAAAAGCCAGATAAACCAAAGCAGAAGCAGCTCGAAAACAAAACACAGAAGCGAGAACGAAATGTTGTGGCTATCGACTTTAAGCTACTTACAGAAATTGACCACCCAAACTGTTGAAAACCTCGATGGTAGTTCATTAAGGTAAATGGTGGTTCATAAACTTTAAGCCGATTACAAGAACGATTCCCGACTGCCGAAAGGTATCCCAAAATAAATGGCGTAAATTGTTTGCTAATGATCGACGGACAAAGTGCTGGCTTACGTCATGGAGCTATCATCATCATCTGGCATGGGAGTTAATTTTTTGCAATTGTCTTGAACTGTTTCGAGTGGTCAATGCTATATCCCGCATAATCATCGATGAGCGAAGGTCGTGTGGCCTCAACTACACACGCGAAGCTTCATTTTTGTATTAACTAGAGTCGGGAGTGAATTTACATAGCTGGAAAACCAGTTATCACGGAGTCTCGTCATCTTAACCGCACAGATCTCGCTTATGACATTTTTGAGACTTAGATAAACCTGCGTTTCTTGAACTTCCTTCAACCAAAATCGCTTTTGTTGTCATTACAGTGCAATAAAAATTGCAGGAAGAAAATAAAAACCCAAAAGATATCAAAATGCCAGCCAATAATTTGCCTCAAGTTGTTTTTGCCTCAGAAACATTCGAATTATTTGCGGAACTACCATGGGCAGGAATGCCCTTTACCCCCTTCCTCCGAAATCCCCCCATCTCTGGGATTCCAAGGGACAAGACTCCCATGTTGTTGTCGTGTCAGCAGCATCCGGGGAATGCAAACTGCAGGTTTGGCGAGGAGATGCAGTCCAGAAATTGCAGAATCATGCAATTTGTGGGCACTTCGAATGCAATCAACAAAACTGTTTGATTTATGATCATTTGCAGTTTGCACTAATTTTTCAAATCACAAAAGGCAGCAGCAACAACAAAGCCCGCAAGACCTGACTCGACACAAAAATTAATCATAGCACAAGGAAGGGATAGATGGCGACCAAAAGGAAGCAGACATGAAGGATGGGGCCCAAGGAATCATTACAATCAATAACTAAAATCGATTTGGGCCTTCAAAGGGTTTCAGTAGCTGTCCGGTTTAAAATAGAAATGACCTCGTGACACGAAGGGGAAATCGGGAGAAATCATAAAGCTAAAATTTAACCTTACACAAGGATCAAATCGACTTTGTATTCATTAACAATAAATAATAAATATTCAAGATTAAATAAACATATTACATATCCCAAACTTATATTATCGGCGAATCTAAATTTATAAGTATAGCTGGATCTCTTTCTTTCTATTCTATGTTCATGAGTAAGCAATTTGTTTTAAATTTTTAGAAACTATTTAGAATTTAAAATGGGTTTTTCGCAATTTTACTGCCATTTTGGAAAACTATCTATTCGTGTCCCGTGGGCATCTCTTAGTACGCATAGAAATCGGTGGAGACGCCTGGCCAAAGACTTAAGAGTTGTAATTATGCGCAGACTTCCTTTAGAATCGGGGGACCATCCTCCTTTTGGGACGCAAGGGCCGGCCCCTTTTTTGCATTGTGATAAACGAGCACTCCCTTTGTCTAGACTTCGGAGCGATCGCTCCTTACAACAACTTCATTATGAATTATGCTCCTCGCAGTTTCCCGGCCATCTCGGTTCCCCAGTTTCTCATTCTCGGTCCCATGGGACATAACTTTTGTTTTATCATCCCAAACGAGGCAGGGACTTATCTCTGCTCTCGCGAGAGCTGAAACTTTTGCCAACATGTTGCAACTAATTACATAAAGCGACACGTGCACGTTGTAATTTTATTTGTTACAACTCGAAATTAGCATGAATTTGCTAATTAGCTGCGATTGTAAAAGTTGCAGGCGAGGCGTCGGCGATATACATAGTGACGACAACGATGGCCTCGAAGAGTTGTGTTACTGCACTTTCCTGTATCTGCGTGAGTGGGTAGCAAAGTATCTGTATCTATAAGTTTGTCGTTGCTACCCACAGCTAAAGATAATTTACAGTTGTAGTCTACCGCTAAGTTAACTGGAACTTGCAACGCAAAGATTGCAGGGAAGTTTTAATCACAAGCAATATATGCTAAATTAATATTAATAGCAATACATTTAAAGAAACTTACAAATCATTGTGAAGCCCGGAGTTTACGTATCTTAAACCTTTAATTTTGTATGAAGGCATTGAATTCAATTTATCCACTTAAATTCGAAGAATTCCTTATCAACCATTCTGATTTGATAAGATTTATTTATATTAATTAAGGTTTGGGGAATTAGGTAAAAAGGCCAAATAACTTACTAAGAATTAATGGTTTTTTACTAGTTGAAAGAAGAAAATCGGCAAAGCTTTGTGTATTTAACAAAGGTACATTTTAACTCAAAAAGCCACTGAACTATAATTATCTCTAAAAGTAAATCTTATATTCTGTTTTGTTGTGATAATTTGGCTTTGACTTTAAGCCACAAAACGCAAACAACTTGAAATTAAACTGCTTCCCCGACGACAGCTCGCTTATCTATAATCAATTAAAAAACCACATTGGAAACTAATACTGGCCTCATATCAATCACTAAACTAATTTGAAATTCCATGAAACAGCTTGACAGTTTGGCACACTATCGGTGGCGAAATCGAAAGAAAAGTCTAACTGATGGGCCACGTGCATACTTTGCAAAAACACTGCAAATATTGAGATATATTTCACATGCTTGTAAATTCAATGCACTCAATACGGCAATTATTTGCCCACATTCATTACGGATAACAAAACAGAATATTTGCACCTTGCCGCAGTTCTCTACATCCCTCACCGCATTTATTCATTTAACATTTTGCATTCATTATACACATATACTTTGTTAACAAATATTTGGCCATTCGTTGCCGAAAATGTTTACATTTACGTATTTATATTCATGCAACTGCTGTGCAAAGGGCGTTTTTCTGTTTCTTTCCCTTGTTGTTGTTTGTAGGGAATTTATGCATATCAAAAATTTGACAAAAATAATTTAACAAATGAATTTTTACAATCACTCTTGTGCATCCCATCAGAAAAATGGATAGACACAAAAAAATCACAAATTGCATTTATCGCATTTATTCATTGGTGATATCAACATAGCAAAAAACTAAAAATACCTACAAAAACAAACGGGAAACAGCCTTGGGGGACCAACGGCAGTGAAAGTGATCCAACGGATAGACACACGATGACGATGACGGCAGATGATGATGATGGCATAAAAAATATGAATGAACAAAAGTCAGAGCTACCAGCATTGATGGAGCGAGCATTAACTTTACATAACTTCAAACAAAACAAAAAATTAACAAAAGTTCGAAAGAAAATATGAGAGAAATATAATCATGACTTATAAAAGATGGAACGGGAAATGTTCCGTAAATGTCGTTAGAGTTATGTAAAGCAAATCATTGAGAAGAATTATCCAATTTTAATGAAGGAGTATTAAAATGCAGGTGATTACGTTACAGAAACAGATAATAACGTTAATATTTATATGTTTAATATTTAGGGGTCTGCAGCTGAACAACAAATGACTCTGGAAAATTCCATCTACAGGTGCTTGAATAAAATACAACATCGCACATATTTACATAGGCAATTTGTTTATAATTTGTTTGAACGAAATATAAATATATACCCTGAATATTATTTTTTTAAAACGTATTGTATTCGTTTATTTTAATTAGTTCAGATACTCATTTTTACCTAATTTACCTAATTAGACCAACATTGTAGTATAAAATATGCACTCATAATGATTTCATTAACAGCTTCGGTTGGTTAAACCTTAATTGCAACAGCACGAGATATTCCACCCACCGCGATGATGCTTTATTATTTTCCTCCAAACTTTCTTTGTTTATAAACGAAAAGGAAAACAACAAATTTAATTGTAGTGCTCAGCATGTTGGCAGATACGAACAAAACACAAAAATCAGGTGTCTT